AGAAGTGATTAACTGGTGTAAAGACATTTGGACAAGGTGGCAGAGAAGTTGCAAAGGCAGAGACCCACAGCTGGGGACAGGGATGCCAATGAAGGACTCTGCAGAAGAAGCTGGTTTCAAAGCAAGTCAGATGTTTGTGTACTAGAACGATCAAGTGGTTACCATATGACCTGGCATTTGTGCTCCTGAACACATCTTTCTGCAAAACTTGCGTGTGTTCATTGCAGCTTTACTCATGATAGTTAAGAAGTAGAAATAAGCCAAATGCTTTATCAGTAGACAAATCAGCAAACCACATGAGGCACATCCGCACCATGAAGTACTGGTCAGGCTGTGAGCTCAATGAAACCTGAGGACCTTATGCTAAGTGAAAGAAGCCAGTCCTAAATCCACATACTGCATGATTCCATTCATATGAACTGTCCAGAGTGAGGACAGCTACAGAGACCAGAACAGATTAGTGGTTGCAGAGTTTGGGGAGGAAGCTGGAGGAAAATGAGTTTTTGCTAAGAGGTGAAAGGTTTCTTTTTAGAGCAATGAAAATGTTCTAAAATTTGTGGCGATGGTTGCACAACTCTGTGAATATAACAAAAATCAGAGTGGTGGGTTGTATACTTTGACTAGGTATGTTGTATCATGTATGAAACATATCTCCATCAAGGTGTTATTAAAACAACAATAACAACAACAACAAAAAATAAGAATGACCTGGGTTTCTGGGAGGTTCGACCCAAGAGGCTAGGCATGCCAAGCCCACAGAGTTCTGGAAGCCCTTAGATTCCTTGGGGTCAAATGGTACTGAGCTTCAGGAAGGTGTTCATCTTGCTCTTCCCACCTTGAGCCAGGGCAGGGGTCTTGTCAGGGGGTGTCAGAGCCTTGGCTTCAGAGAAGCCCCTCCCACCGTCCTCAGGACTGGTGGAGGAAGGAGCAGCTCTTGGGTCCTGGAAGAGAGCTGTAGAATTTCTTCACACCCCTCACTGGTGTATGTTTGGAGTGGCGGTGGACGGAGAGAAGGATAGAGAACAGAACACAAAGTGGATTACTAATTCTACAATTTTATGAGCACTAACTATGCATCAGGTGCCATATTAACTGGGAAGCAATTGGGATGTAAAGAAGTGCAAGAGTTCCCCTGGCCTGGAAGAGCGTGGGAGGACTGGCTGAAGCCTGGCATGTAAAAGCTCCAATGTGGTGTGGAGGGTAGAACTCTGGGCCACATGATGTAGGAGAGGGACACATTTCCACTTCTGCCTGAAGCTTTGTGCCATTAGCATGCTGGCCATGGCTGTAAGTGTGGGTCTGGCCCTGAGGGGATCATGGATACAAGGTACTGGAATGACAAAACCCAGATGTCCTGTCCTAGGATGTACTTTCTGGAAGCCACCATTCCAAGCTGGACAGATAGGCATAGGCAGATCTACCCCCTGCCTCTGCCACATATAAAGGCAATGAGGTTTACTGGCCAGTCCTCGCATCCCACCTGTGGAACGGCTAAAGGAGCAGAGCAATCGAGCATCTTTGATTTCTCATCTGAAGTCAGTTTTTTTCAAGTTCACATAGATTACAGAAAGGTTTGTGAGTTATAAACAATTCATCCATTGCAAAGTGTATTCCAAGTGCTAAGTCATCGAATGTTCAGAAGGCAACTCTTTGCTAGCACACTAAACACTAGCATTGGTGGATTCCCAGGGAAGTCCCTTGAAATACTCTAAGGCCTGACCACTGCAGGGCCAGCCAGGACTTAGCAGAAGGATCCCGGGTCCTAAGGTTCTGGCCTCAGGCTATGAGCTTCCCCATTCATTGTGCTGTGGAGACCCTGGTGTCTGGGGTGGCTCAGCACTCTGGAAGCCAGGGGACAAGAGAGCAAGGCCCCCAGGGTCATCTGTAGTCCCTGTGCAATTTGAAGTTCTGACCCAGTGGGGTCCCCTTCCAGAACCATGTACTTTTAAAAGGGGCAGCAGCCCCTGGCGATGATAGCAACCTTTGGACTGGAAACAGAAGCTGTGATTACAAGAGGAAACACAAATGCACATACAACCCTTTCCAGAATATGACCCTGCCTGCCCCTGGGATGCTGGGAGGAGGAGGCTCACGTGAACCCAGTGAAAATAGGGCAACATGAAAATGCTGTGTAGTCAGGCTGAAAATTAAACAGATGTGAGTTTCTTTAATTCAAAGCCTTAATTATTCTGACGTTTGCCATAACTTAATCTGAGCCATAACTTCAGCTTTAATTATGCATAATGAAATGGATTATTTACAGTAACTAATATGACAGGAAAAACGGGTGAGAACTGGTAACTTGGCAACTGTTGTGTATTCCTCTTTTTACTCAGCCAGGGAATTCTGAGTACCTACTATGCTTCCCCTCCACCATCTTACAGATGCCCCCCTGGAAAATAGCACTGGGCTGTTTCCTTTGATTCATTGTATCATTCTCTACTGCAGTAATACAGCATAGCAAGTACTTTCCCTGATTTACAGGCTGGAGCAAGTAGAATTGAGATCTGAAAGGTTAAGTAATTTGCTAAGATCATGCAGCCAAACCTATGATTTTTTTTTTTTACCATTTACCTACTTCACACAGAAACCTACAGACTAACATTCCACATCTTACCACCCTTCCTGCTTTATTCAGGAAAAGTGGGTTGCTGTTTTAGCAGGACAGTGAATGATCAGAATCATGCTTCTGGGAAATGAACCTGAGATTCCTGTAGAATGCATTGCGGGACATGGAGATAGGCTAGGTCAGAAGTAAGGACCTTAAGCCAGGCTGGTGACCCAGAGGCACATTGGGGCAAGAACTGGGGCCTATGGAACATGTAAACTGGTGGAAAGGGAGAGCCAGCCTTGCTGCCCTGGGTTTCTGAACAGAGCACACACTGGCAGTGTCACCTGGGGAGGTCACCTGTTTCAGAATCTTTTCTTCCTGTCCAGGAGGGACTGGAGCCAGCAGTCCCAACTCAGAGGCATGTGAACTGAAATGCTTTTATTTTTCTTCTAGTTACTGTCTTCAATAAACTTCAGTTAAATTTTCCTTCCTTCCTTCCTTCCTTCCTTCCTTCCTTCCTTCCTTCTTTCCTCTCTCCCTTTCTCCCTCCCTCCCCCTCCTCCTGCTTCTCCTTCTTCTCTCTCTTTCTCTCTCTTTTTTGCTCTCTCTCTTGCTTTCATGTTTTGAGACAGAATCTTCCTCTGTAGCCCAAGCTATCTTGGAATGGAACTCGTTATGTAGCCCAGGTTAACCTGGAACTCATAGCAATCCTCCTGCCTCAGTCTCCTGAGTGCTGGAATTGTAGGTGTGAGCTACGACATATGCCCAGCTTGAATGTTCCTTAACATCTTGTCTTTTGCACTTTCAGGTGTTCATGATCAGCACTGTGTCAGGCTTCCACAAACCCAATCCAACTTGAATCTCATCTCCTGTCACTCTCCTGCTTCTGGGATAGTGAAGCTGGTGCTGGTACTCTGAGCACATTGCGTTGCTCTTACCATCTCCTCTCTCTTTGCCCAGGGTCTGGAGAGAGGGAGAGGATGAAGGAGTAGGCAGTCTCTCTAGTCAGATGGTTACTGTCTCTCTGTTGTGACCTCTGTGGCTGACACTGACTGTGTGCAGGTTCATCTGTGGGGCCTAACTGCAGTTCTTCAGAGCTCCTGGGGGTCTCCTTATCACTCTCGTCCCTAACTGGAGGCTCTGGCTCAACCTCTCCGCTGTTCTCCTGCACCAGCTTGGAGATGCTGGGCTGTCTCTTCTTCATAGCCAGCAGGTGTCCCATGAGAGGGATGGGGAAATGACCCTTTCACTGATGGGGAGATGGTCCTTTCACTGTACCAGCTACTCTTCCCACTGCTCCATGCAGAAGGACAGGCTACCCTTCAGCCATCTTCCCTCAGCCCACTGTTACCTGGAGTGAAGGCAGAGCCTAGCCTGCAATAATTTACTTGCTTCTCCTTGTGCCCTGGCAGAGTGCTGCATGGGCCATAAAAATGCTATAAAGGCCACATCATTCCCCAGTGGGCAGAGACCTCATGACTCCAATAGTCTCAGCCAACCTTCTTTGAGGTCTGGAGGGGCCATAGCAATGGATGACATCTGTGATGTTTAATATTGTTGACTTGACAAAATCTAGAACTGCCAAGGAGACAAACCATCTAGGGATGCCTGTGAGGGTGTGTCTAAACTGGGTTAATTGAGGTGGGAAGATCTACCCTAGAATGGATGGCACCTTTCCATGGGCTGAGGACACAGACTGAATAAAAAGGAGAAAGCCAGGTGAGTACCAGCATTCATCTCTGCAATGTGACCAGCTGCCTTATCCTCCTGCTGCCTTCCCCACCATGATGGACTGTTGTGCCAAAGTATGAGATTAAATAAACCCTTCCTTCCTTACATTGCTTTGGTCAGGCATTTTGTCACAGCAATAGGAAAAGTCACTAATAGAGCATCAGAGGGCAGCGCCTACCAGGCATCTGCCTTGTGGGGACATTTGGTTCCAGCTCTTAGCTAGTGTCTTTAGAACCAGCTCCAGTGAATTCCCAAGTCTGAGTCTTATTCCTTAGCTCAAGGCATCAGAGAACCCGCCCCCCCATTTGCAATCCCCGTTTGTGGGAATGACAACAGGACTGGTTACAGGGCAATCGAGACCAGCATGGACATATAGCTTTTACCACCATCATGGTGTCTTGCTCTTTCTTGCTCTTTTGACTGTTCATGAGCTCTCTCTGTGAAAGTACATGGTTGAGGAGGACTTTTAGGACAGACCCCGGGCTAATGAGGGAGGGCTAGCTGGCCTCTTGGGTACCACACTATCAAAGAAGCAGGTCATCAAGGAACAAACAGACCTGTGGTGTTTAGAGTCTCCCTTAGTTACCACCAAAGCCTCTGTTTGATTGCCTGCCTGGCAACAGAGCCAGGTGGGGAAGATTGCAGCGTCTGGAATAAAGGTGGAGGTAGAAAGCTGGGTTCAGAGTCTGGATAGCTACACACACAGTGAGCTTCCAGTATGCAGGGGGCAGTCATTATTGTGGCTTTCCTGGGGGTTACTTCAGGTAGGAGCTCCATTCGCTGTGAAGCCTGCTTGATCTGCTTGGTTTGAAGAGTATCACTGCGTAAGAATGCCCTCAGAGAGAACATCACCCTTGGGAGGCCTTGTTCCATTGAGGGCTTCTCTGCCATGACGAATGAAAGGTAGCAGCTCTGGGTGGCTTGAACACTGAGGTCCAGGATCCTGGAGGAGAGAGGCACTTAGAGATCCATAGTGGAGTCTAGGCTTGTGTAGATGGCACTCTTCCTCTGGGTTCGCTGGCCTGTGCTGGGAATCCTGAGAACAAAGATTGGTAAAGTGCTTCTTGGAGCCCAGCTGCGTATGGATATTCTGAGGATTATTGCTGGCCTTGGAATTGGCAAGTCATCATTCAGAAAAACAGATAAAAAGGTGCTATTGTCTCCCTGTGGAGCAAAGAAAGCTTCTGATAAAGGGCCCAGGATTCTGCCTAATACTCCTATTTTAAATATATTTTTTAATTTTAAAATTTATTGTTTTTATGTGTATGAGTGTATTGCCTGCATGTATGTAAGTGCAACTGTGTTGTACAGTGACCATGGAGGTCAGAGGGGGCGTTAGATCCCCTGCAGCTGGAGTTACAGATGGCTGTTAGCTGCCACGTGGGTGCTGGGAATCGAATCCAGGTCCTCTGCAAGAGCAACTCTTAACAGCTGAACCATCTTTCCAGCCCCCCTTCCTAACACTTTTACACTCCATTCAAGAGCTTCAAGAATCTCATATGATTTTTTAAGCATTGTCAATTTGGATTATTGAAATTAAGCTTTTTAAATTAAATTTTATATTTTGAATAGGTAATGTATGTGTAATGTGTGAAATCCAATCATGTTAATTTGTAGGTTAATTTAGGGGTAATTTGCATCTTTGATGAGTTATGCAGTGAAATGCTCAGAGAAGAGCCTGGAACATAGTAAATGCTTAGGAAAAGGTAGTGATGATCATTTATTCTGCTGAGCCTCCTTATGATCAAAGTCCAGGTTCTAGATACTTGTTTAAATCTTTATTTTTCTGGGGAGTAGTGTTTGGTTTCTTTCATGTAGATATTATACATTCTGATCACAGTTATTCTAGTAACATGTTCTTTTTCCTTTTTATATTTGTAAATGGAATATTTTCTTCTCTTACATCTTTTTACTTTCTGTTTATGCCATACAGATGCCTATTAGTGAATCATCTTACTGTTTATAACAATTTCTTTGTCAATTCTCATGTATTTTCCAGAATTGAAGAGAATGAACATCCCTAGTCCTCTGCTCCTATTTTTATATGTGTCATTTCTTTCTCTTATCTAATTGTCAGGCCTGTTTCTCCTGACCATCACTAATTAACGAGAGGAGCGTGCATTCCTGCCTTGTTACCACTAAGCACGATGCCAGATTTCTGTATGAGGCAGAAATGTTTTGTATGTTAAGGAGACAGTTTTATTTGGATGATTCAGTTCTAAATAAAAATGGATTTTTAAATCAAATGACTTTTCAAGATCCACAAAAATGAACATTTGATTTTCCTCTTTGATCTGCTAAGAATATAAAAATTTCAATACTTAGGAGGCAGAGGCAGGCCAGTTCCAGGCCAGCTAGAGCTACAGGAAAAACCTGTCTCAAAATAAATAAATAAATAAATAAATAAATAAATAAATAAATAAATAAATCCCCGATAAATGAATAACTGGGTTTCCTAATATTGAGCCCTCCTTCATCTGGGGCTTTTACCCTGTAGAGGGCAGAGAATCTATGAAATTAAAGCAGGCTTTGAGCAATCCAGGCTCTTGAAGTAAACATTAGAAGTTCCCCCAGAAACATGAACTTTTAGAACTATAGCTGTTTGAGTTAAGAGGTGACATTTATTGTCACCAAGGAGGAGTGAGTTTAGACAGAATGCAGCCAGTGTCTTGCACTTGAACACTGTCATGTAAAACTTTATCATTGATTTAGGAAAGTAGTAGATTGCACATTTTCCAGAAATACTTGGGATTTCTGATAGGAAAGTACATCGGAATCCTTCCCTGCCCAACAGCCTCCTCACTTTATCATGAGTTTCCTTGCACAGGTCAAGTCCTAGTTTTTGAAGGTCTACTGTAGTGTAGTCTGTCCTTTGGGAGTCTGAGAACCTGATCATGACAGTCACTCTTGAACTTTAGGGTTCTGAGGGATTTGGGGCCTGCGGACAGATACACACACATCTGCCTTCAGCATGTAGAAGGTGGACACTGCATGACAGCTTCAAAGAAAGCAAATTAGCCTCCTCTTTTCTTTCCTTGGGTTCTACCTTAAGGTCCAACTCAGGCGTACCATCCCCCAGGGCCTTCCCATTTGCTTGGGCTCATGGTAAACCCTCTTCCCACTGCACCCTGGAATGCCCCTTGCCTGTACATGCTCTGTATGCCAACATCTCAGTACAATGTCCAGTACAGACCAAGTGCTCAACAAGCTGGCATGAGCTACCATTCTGTAATTCACCTGTAATGTAATGTCCTGCTTCTTCAATTACAATGTCAGACCCATAATACCATGTTTTATATCTCTTAATGCTCTGTGGGCCTTCAGTGTCATAAACAGATGGCATCTAGTATGTACTTGGTTTTGTTGATAAGCATTTTTTTAGAGTCTGGTGTGTGTGTGTGTGTGTGTGTGTGTGTGTGTGTGTGTATTCCTTTCACATTTACTGATGCTCCCTCACCAAAGGCAGTGCTTCAGATCTTCTGCCTACTTCATATTTGCATTTGAATTGGTTTCTGTCTTCCCCATTGCCTACTAACATGAGGAAAATGGAAATTTTCGTTTGGGACGCTCTCATGGGCCATTCTGACAATGGCTTACAAACAAAATCCCTAGAGAACATAAAAGAGGCAAAACTCTTGACTATACCTGAGGGAAAGAGTTGAGACGGGAGTCTTTAAGCTCCATCAGCGCTAAAGGACCACATGTAATTCCCAGAAGGCAAAGGAAGCAGCAGAGGACCCCAGCATATTTAAACCTGACACATATGGAAGCTGTCTACACTTTTAGAAAGCCTCAGGGAAGCTAGCTTTTGTATTACACTCATGGAAATGATGCATGCCAGGAGGGTTAGAGAGAGAAGGACTTCCTCTGAGTCTAGAAAGATGATGTGACCATGGAGAGGTATCAAGCTCATGGAGCTGAGTTTTTCCATAAGTGCCAGGTGGGAGGCAATCATAGCTGTCTTGGGGAAGTCCCCCAGTTCTGACATCTGAGCTTGGTCCTTTGCCAGGTGGTGTCAGGAAATCTGGAAAACCCTGAGATTCAGTGTCTTTTGCCCCTTGTGAAATTAGGTGTAACTGCTTCTTAATGTTTTCATGGTTTGAAAATTCAGGAAGAGAATTGATTTCCAGAAAGTCTTTCTGTAGGTCAATTAACTCTTTATATGATATCCAAACAAGGTTTAAAAGGTTTCTCGTCTCTCTCCATGTCACTTTCCCTTCAGAGCTGGCCTCAGGAAAGACCTCTTAGCTCTCCCTTCTTGCCCATGAGCTGCTCATCTTTTTCTCGTGCCCAGCTCCATCATTCACCCAGATCCCTGGAACCCATCTGTTTTTCATGTCTGTGGCCTTGGGAAAAGAAACCAGCCCTTAGGGCAGCCCCAGAATGAGGATCCCAGACCAACATACCTTTTTCTTATTAACTTCAACCTAATTTGATGTGTGGAATCATTAGTGGAGTTCCCTTTTCTCTTGTATTCTTGCCTGGCATGGATCAGCTTCTCCAAGAAGGGCTGGATGAGGAAGGTATATGCTATTACAATGAAAGAGATTAGGAAGATGTTGAGTCTTTTGAAACAAAACTTCCATGGTACTCCATAGTTCATCAGTATGTGTATTATCTTCTGTGGTTATGTGTGTTGTAAGAGTGAGTCATAGGCTAGAGCAGCAACTGTCCATCTGTAAAGGAAGCTGACACAATTCCCTCCCAGGAGGCTTAGTAGAATGGGAGGGCTTTGAGGCCAGGATTGGACTTCATGTTGGGAGGGAGAGAATTAGAAACAACATGATATATGGAGATCTGACATGATGGGGCCTTAAAGGGAAGAAGTGGCTTCCCTTTAAAGCCTGGAGAGGAGCCTCATTAAGAGAATGGGGGTGGGGTGGCCTGAGAGGATTGGGGAGGCCAGAGGAGCCTCTTCAGAGAGGAGCCTTCATCTTGGGACCAAACTAGCAGTCTCCCTAAGGAGTCTCGGACCAATCCTTAGAACGAAGGAAAGGTCTGACTTTTATAACCTTTTAGGGATGGCGGGAAGTTTCACATCATATGATTTAGTTGAACACAGAGTATATGACAAGTATATGGAAGAACTAGCTACCATAAATTGAGAACTCTCAAGACTGCTCCTTAACTGTCCCGGGGAGAGCTGCAGGGAGGCATGGGCTGATTCAGGCTTTGGGATGGATCAGTCAGGCTGAAAGGTGCAAGCCCTGTGTTCTAAGACCTAGTGAGCCTGCTATTAGCCTACATTGCCTTCCTAGAGTTCTTGTAACACACTGTCCCCAGGTCAAGGTGTGAAGCATTTGGATTAGTAATGTTGCCTTGCAAGCATGCATCCCATGTCCTAGGAGTTTCTGTAGGACATATTCCAGCTTGTGAGCACTATTATCATTAATTGTGAGATGGATGATTTGCACCTGGTCTCAGCCATGACCTCAGTGGACTCTGTAGTTGAGGCTGGTTCTGTAGCAAGAATGTGCCCAAGGAAAAACAGAATTTCAGATTCACTTTCCTTTGGTTTCCATGCTTTCAAAGTGTTTGCTGTGATTGACATGCATTTGGGTCTTAGAAACTTTACCCTGTGGAATACTGTGAGGAGTACGACCTTTACAAGGTGATGAGGTCCTGAGGGTAGAGTCCTCATAAAGAGATTAATGTTATTATTGTGGATGTGGGGCTTCCTATCAAGAGAGTGGGTTTGTTATAAAAGCAAGTTTGAACCAGGCATTACATACCTGTAATTCTAGCATTTGGGGTAGAGAATTGCCGTAAGTTTGAGGCTTACATAGTGAGTTCCAGGATAGCCTGGGCTACCGAGTGAGATGCTTTCTTAAACAAAGAGCAAGGTGGGCTTTCTCTCACTATGCGATGCTTTGTTGAGACACATGCAGAAGGCCCTCACAAGGTGTAGCACCTCAATTAGGACCTCCCACTGTGCAGACTGATGAGCCAAAGAAAATCTTATTGTCTATAAATTACCCAGTCTGTGGTATTCTGTTACTGCAACAGGAAATGAACTGAGACAGTATTTGTGCATGCATCAGTGGCTCCTAATCCAAGTGCCATTGCCCTTGAAGAAAATGTGACAATGTTAGCCAGGCCCCAGGACCTCCAAATCTCTTGCTATGAGGTAGCCTTCAGCTACCATGAGTCTCTTTAATATTCTTTTTTTTTTAACTTTAATATTCTTGCTATGCTATATGTATTTTTCTGTAACCAAACTCCAGATCTGTGGGCTTTGTCATTATGCTCCTGTGATTGTTTCTTAGCAACAGAACCCTGATTAGCAGCCATTGGGGTAGCACCCTGAGAGAGTTGACATCGGAACCCCAGGGAAGGTCAGGCTCCAGCCCACAGTCACTTGTTCAAGCAACAGCCAAGATGACACTTGAAGCAAGGGCTCCAATTTCAAATCTCTGCTTCACAGCACTGACTTCCTTCATGCCCTTTGATTAGTTACTAGAGAAAATGAAGGACTACTTATTTATTTTTAGTTTTTTAAAATCATTATTAGTCTGGATGCCTGTATATGATGGGGAGGGGACATACCACAGCATTCATGTGAATGTCAGAGGTCAAATTGGTGGAGTTGGTCTCTCCTTCCATCTCTATATATGGCCTATCGATTCAACTCAGGTGGCAGGCCTGTGTGGCAAGTACCTTTATGAGCTGAGCCATCTCAACAGCTCCTGAATGAGCATTCATTGAGAGATGGTCTCAGGTGAGCACAGCTCTATGTCCTGAAAGCAGAGCTGTAAGTTGGAGCAGCTGTGTTTTTTCTTCTGGGGAGAAGAAAAAGAGGTGTCACTCCCTAGCCTGGTCCCACATTGCCACTTGGTGTTGAGGGCCCAGGGAGTAACTGAAGAGACGAGTAGCTGAAGTTAGGGAAGCGTTAGTCTCAGCACTGGCTCTTGGAAGGAGGCCCCAGAGGTCCATTTCTAGAAAGGCTATATTTCAGGAGAAATAAGTGAACCTATCATGTATGGAGATGTTGCAGCTGCCTCTGTGACTGATAATACATATTCACATGCCTTTTCTTTTTCCAAGTGTTAGATGCCAACAATTCTAATTTGATTCTTAAGACACATGTGTAAGTCAAATTCCATTAAAGCGTCTTGCCTGCTCACCAGACTCCAGTCACAAAAGAACCATCCAGAAGACTAGCCTTAGATGGAAAACGAGGTCTCTTAAGCAGAGCTAGTCTTGAGCCTCTGATCTTCCCTCGGCCACTACTCAGCTGGTCACTGTTGGGCACATCATTTTCAGCTGGGTGCTTTTGGAACCTCACTTAAAGTTACATGTGGAATGACTGGGTTGAACACTCTGCGGGCACTGCATCTTACCAATGCTCCACGTTAGCACACAGACCCTAGTTGCTTGATTATCACAATTGCTGTTACTGCTACTGCCTCTTTATTGACAGGGGAGCTAGAGAAATGGAGTGTTGAGACCCTAGTGTTGCTACCTTTCTTGTCAGTATCTCCAATGAATGCCTCTATATTTGGGAGTACAGTTGCATGATCCTAGCACATGGCCTTGCCCTGTGAGAAGAGGTCAACAGAAGGGTGTCAGTAGAAAGGGTATATCTAAAGGACATTCTAGCTTTAACTAGACACAGAATGAGTAATTCCAAATACAAACTGCTTGACGACACTGGATTGATTTACTTCTTTTCCAAAATATCTTCCTTGATGTCACTCAAAATAGGACATTTGAGAAGGAGTAGGAAAAGCTAAGGAGGTTGCCCTTGGAGTCAGGTGCCCTGAGCTGAATTGCTGCTTCTTTCATGGAATTAGTTTCAAACCCAGGTCTTCTCAAAGTTATGATCAATGGATAGACCCCAGAAAAACCAATATTTGCAGACTTCTCTAGTCTCTCCAGTTCCTCAAAGGAGATGTGCTAAGGTTGGCAGCCCCAGCAATCTGCCCGCTGGGGTGAGGCTGTGGAAAATGCCAAGTGAAACTTAGTAAGGCTCTCATGCCTAAGCTCTGGTCAGCTTATATTCCAGCAGAATAGAATTTTTTCTTTCTTTCGTGTGTGTGTGTGTATGAGTAGGTGTGTGGTAATAGGGATTGAACCCAGGGCCTTGTGCAAGCTAGGAAATCACTCTACTACTGAGCTACAGTTCAGCTCTCTTTTTATTTTTGAAATATGGTCTCACTAAATTGCCCAGGTTGGCCTGAACTCATCCTGTATGTAGCCTTGACCCTTTGATCCTCCTGCCTCACCCTTATAAGTAGCTGCGATTATGGGCCTGTATGACCACGCCCAGCTTTTGCTGGACTTTGTTTTTACTTAGGTGTGCCTGATTCTTCCCTTTGAAATAAGACAGTACTTGTTTTGGTTTTTTTAAAAAAAATTTATTTATTTAATTTTCTTTCATTGTGTAATGGGTGTATTGCCTGTATGTGTGTAAGTGCACCTGTGTCCTGCAATGCTCTTGGAGGTCGGAGGTCAAAAGAGGGCGTCACATCTCCTGGAACTGGAGTTACAGATGGTTGTTAGCTGCTATATGGGTGCTGGAAATCGAACCTGGGTCCTCTGCAAAAGCAGTCAGTGCTTTTAACTGCCGAGCCATCTCTCCACCCCCATAATTTACCTCTTAATGATGGTATCTGCCTCCCGAGTGCTGGGATTAAAGGTGTGCACCACCATGCCCGGCTAATATTTTAATTTTTAGAAGAAGCATTTCATTACAGCTTTAACATACTCAATAATAATTTCCAGAGCAAAGATACATCTCTTTCAAAAGTGGCTATAAAAGTTTTAGATTCACAGTTGAATTAATATCACAGTTAAGAGACTTTTAAAAGAGACTACGGACTTTTAAGTGTTTGGATTTTTTAAGGACTGTGGGACTTTTAAGGTTGTACTGTCTTATGTTGTGATATTAACATCATATCTTAGGGACATGAATTGGAAATGTTATGGTTTAATAGTGATGTGTTTGTGTGTCAAGTTGACAAGGGGCCAATTGTGCTGGGTAGTTTTAGTGTCAACTTGACACACCTGGGTTGAGGGAGCCTCAACTGGGGAACTGCCTCCATTGGGCTGGCCTATGGCCATGTCTGTGGGGCATCTTCTTGACTGTTGTGTGATGTGGGAGAACCCAGCCCACTGTGGGCGGTGCCACCCCCAGGCAGGTGGGCCTGTGTTGCCAAAGAAAGCAGGCTGAGCAGGGGCCAGGGAGCAAGCCAGTAAGCAGAGTTCCTTCATGTCCTGTGGGCGGCTCCAGCTCCTGCCCCCAAGTTCCTGCCCTGAGTTTCTACCTTGGGCTCCCTAATGAACTGTGACACAGGAGATGTAAGATAAAATAAGCCCTTTCCTCCCCGAGTTAGTGTCAGTCAGAGTGTTTTGTCACAGCAATGGAGAAACAACTAGAACACCCAGCTTCCAGTCCAGTTCTGGGTGACATCTCTGCTGCTGAGGATGGTTTTTTACTCGATGGCTGTGGTGGGATCTTTCCAGTCTCTGCCCCTTCTATTTCATTGCATTTTTCCTGTGTGTGTCTATACACTGACTTTATTTTTTATGTGTATTAGTATTTTACCTACATGATGTAAGTGCACCCCCTATTGTATAATGTGCATAGAGGTCAGAAGAGGGTATCAGATCCCTTGGAAGTGGAATTAAGGGTGGTTTTTAGCTACCATGTGGGTGCTGGAAACCAAACCTGGGTTGTTTGCAAGAGCAACCAGTGCTCTTAACTGCTGACCCACCTCTCCTGTTCTGCCTTTTTATAGGGACACCAGTCACTGGATTCAGGGTCCACCCTAATCCACTATGTATACCTGTGAAGGTTCTAATTTCCATACAGGGCATATTCTGAGGTTCTTTGGGACATGAAGTGTTAGAGGACACTATTCAGCCCCAGCCCATGATAGTTAGCAAGATTCTGAAAGCAGGAGAGAATGTGGCCTCTGGTGGATCTCCTCTGTAGTGGGCAAATCTGCCACAGTACCATGCAGACCTTGGAAATGCTCCCATACTTTCCCAGGTGAAACACATGGTCTCTTAAAGTGTAAAACTCCCTAACTAAACTGCTGCCCAAATCAATTCATGTGCCCTCCTGACTCTCATTTTCTCCTCTGTGAAATGAGGATTAATCATCAAAGAAGTGTTGATTGACCCTCAACAGGCCTCCAACAATAACAGATCATTGTTCTTGACATTGCTAACAGCTGTGGAGAAATCGCCCAATTCTTGAGTTCTCTAGTCATACACATCCAATTCTTAGACGACCTCATGAATCCAACACCGCTTCAGAGAAGGAAAACTAACTTTTAGCATCTTGTGGGCCCCTGCAAGAGAGGATGTCATTGCACACATTAAAGTGCTACTGTCTCTTAAAGTATGGCAAGTTTCTTTCCTTGGCTCTTTCACAAAGGCTGGGAGAAAAGAGGAGGGTGGCAGGGAGGCAGGGGAGAAGCACAGGCTTTGTTCCAGCAGCAGAAGCAGATTTCATGGCTTCTTCTGGGGCTGTTTTTCCTCGGCTCCCAGAAGACCTCACATTTCACTTCCAGTACTTGTGGAGAGTATTCAGTCTTGAGAAGTGACCAGTCCCTGCTGTTACCACAAAATGAAGCCATGGACCAAGCTGTGAAGTCCCTATTCCCAGCCAAGGCTTTGGATTCATGCTGCCTCACATCTTTTTAAAACCTACAGGAGGAGAAGCATTACACCTGATCCACCTGCCTGCCACCAGCAGTGTGGTAGAGAATGCTCCACCTGGGACTCTGGTGCATGAATTTTCTGTGAATTTATCCGTATCGCTGTCACCTGTGATCCCAGGGTTTCCACTAGTAATCAACCCAAGACCCTTCACTGAAGCCTTCAGGGTGAACAGACTGTCAGGCACCAACTTTGAGGTGAGCAGCCTGTCATTTCTGCCACCCCCCACATCTGCAAAGATGGATTCTAGAGCATTGATCCTTTCCTCTCTCCCTGCTTTAATTTCTGCCTGTTGGGGGATCCCAGGACCCCCTGCACTAGATGCCCCATAGCCTTTGGTTTTCCTTCTTTATCTACACAGTTCCCATAAATATTATGCCTTCACATGATACTGGGTGTCAGGTGTGCTTTGGCTAACTAATTCTTTGAATGGGTGAGAGTGGATACTGATCTGAAAAGTCAGGTCCTAATGACCTTGAATCTAGGGAATTCTGCTCTCTTGTGACCCTGTGATTATTTAGGAGACAGTCTGAAAGAGCAAACATATTTAATATGAAAGATGCATACCCATTTATAAGCATATAGGTCTCCAGCCCCTGCCCAATGTGCATGTTTCCTCTGAATGCAGGTGATTCAGAGACAATAATTCACATTCCCATGTCGTAGTTGTTCTTTTTGTCATTGGAGTCTTTCCCAAAGTTGTCACTTTCCCATAGAGAAGGCTATCCTGAAGATGTCTTCTTTAGGGTCTAGGGGTCTGAAATTGCCTGCCTTTGGTATTCTCCACCCCAATCCCTTTCCTCAACAAGCCTGGCAGTCTCCTTCAATTAGTACCAGCCCTACCATGGGTCCCTGGGGTCTTCATGGGACCCGCTGGACTCAGGTCTGCCTGGTCTAGACTTGGTTGCTTCCATGAAGTATATGCTAGTGTTCTTAAATCATTTGAGTCACTTGAGCTTCAGAAGAAGTGTGCAGATCAAGACCCTATAGCTGTGGAACCTACACCCTGAGGAATTCACACCCTGAAGCCAGAGGCCAGTATTCTCCACACTCAGGGCTGGGTTCTGCCAATCTTCACCCTCAGTACCCCATGGATGTTCCCAGAATCCAGATGCTGGCTTCAAGACTTAGCTGCTCTGCCTGTCTACTCTTGACATCTGGGCTGCCTTTAGCAGCTGCTGCCTATCTGTTTCCATAAGCCCTGCCAACTGCTCAAAACTATGGAACACATTCTATATGCTGGTCACTGATGAAAATGATTCATACACCTCTGCTCTTGAAATCCTCAAGACAATCTAATGGTTGTGATTTTAACATTAGCTCCTTCTCACCGATGAGGGAAATGAAGCTCAGGGAGACCGAGTAGTTTGTCCTAGGTTGTGTAGCTGAGCTAAGACTGGAAACCAGGGTGTCTAGTTCTGGGACCTTATTATTGTTTTTTAAATATTTTATTTATTTTTATTTTATGTGTATTTGTGTATTGCCTGCATGTAGGTAAGTGCATGTGTAATGCCCATGGAGGACAGAAGAGGTTGTCAGATCCCCTGGAACTGGAGTTTTGGACAGTTGTTAGCTGCCATGTGGGTGCTGGGATTCAAACCTGGGTCTTCTGCAAGAACAGCCAGTGTTCTTAACTACTGAGCCATCTCTCCAGCCTGTGGGACCTTATTATTTTTAAAACAACTTTATTAATCTGTTAATTCATGACTAGAATATAGAGAGCTCAATACTGCCCACTAGAGGGAAGTCAGGGTATCCTCAGTCCTGTGTGGTGGCTAGGGGTTTTCTTTCATGGGTCAGGGGTTTTCTTCTGGAGCAGGGACACTAAGGACAGCTCTGAGCAGCCCAGGAATAGGACAGCAAGCAGACAGTCGGAGGAGCTCTCCAAGGTCCTGTGAAGGCCAGCACCTGCTCCTCTTTCATCCACCATCTCTCAGCCTGACTCCTCTCTTTTCCCATCAGTTGTTCTGAGCATTGTGGACCTATTTACTCAGCCTTGTTCAGAATGACTTCAAAGTTCATGCACTTAAAATCAAACTTGCTCCTTCATCTTAGAACTTCACAACCAGATTGCCTGTAGCCAAATTGAGGCTTCCTACTCCCATCTGGGACTTTTGGATATCCCCTTTCTTCTCTATCTTAATCTCCTTATATGTGAAGCAGGGGGTGGGGGAATTTATTAACCTGCAGCTGTTGTGACAATTAAATAAAATGTACAAAAACAGCTTGGCAAAAGACCCATAAACATTTAATAAAGCTTGTAAAAAATAAAAAATAAAAAAGCTGGACGTGGTAGTGCAATGCCTTTAATCCCAGAACTCAGGAGGCAGAGGCAGATGGATCACTGTGAGATCAAGACCAGCCTGGGATGGTCTACATAGTGAGTTCCAGATGGGGCTATATAGTGAGACCCTGTCTCAAAAAGAAAAAAACTCCCCCAAACAGCAGCACAAAACCCTTGAAACAATTTTTCCATTTCTAGCAACACATTTCTTTTGGGTCCAAGATAAAGAGTTTGGACACTCTTTTTGAGCAGTCCATTTACTTCCTGTAGGGTGTTCAAGCTAGTCTGAGGGGAGCTAGCAACGGATGATGTAAAGGGAAGGGATTCATCCAAACTTGGGATATAGAAGAAGGCTCCAGAGTGAGCAGGGCACTGGAGCATAAATGAATCAGTGGACCATCTGCTCGGGTGGATGCACACTCCTTAAGTAGTTTCCACTCCCCAAGGGTGATATTGGCAAAGAGTTGCCCAATACCAGATAGTGCTCTGAGTACTGCCCTTGGGTCAGCTCATTCAAGCCTTGCAACATTACAAAGCAGGTGTTATTTTTACCCTCGTATTACAGATCGGGAAAATGAGCATGGGAAAGTTAAATATTGGAAGCTGAACTTTGAAGTCTATCTGGCTCAGAGTCTGTGCTTTAGAGCTTGTGTTGTGCTGCCTCATTTTCCATTGGGTAGAACATAGTGACCATATCAACTCTGGGTAAGTGGCTACCAGGCTCACACACAGATAGATTGTCTACAGATACCAGACTACCTCTTTCCTCTCTCTACCCTCCTCTCTAATCTCCCTCCACTGCGCACACTCATTCACATCAGTGACTGTCATCACTTTTCATAATCAGTCTAGCTCTTGCGAGGTTAAACTCGATACCCCCTACCTTCATGCAGCCCTCTCAAACTATATGCAGCTCACAGTGAACTCCTCCCTCCCTGACCTTGCTCTTAGTTATAATTCATCAGCTGCTCGACTAGACCAAGAAAAACTTCCAGAGTTAGAATCAGAGGAAGAGAAAGGAACTCTCCTGAGGTCACACAGAAGTTCAGTAGAGGAAATGGGACCTGAGCCAAGTGCTCTCATTACATGATGCTGAGTATCCTAGCACTCAGCCCTGGGTATATTACCCAAAGGTCTAGAAGAAATTCGGTCCCTGGGCTGATATTAGCACAGTGGTAGGGTGTTTTTCTAGTATATTACTTTTTTCTTGCTGTGATAAAATACCATGAGCAGAAGCAACTTAAGGAAGAAAGTCTATTTGGTTTATGGTTCTAGAGGGAGAGTCCATAATGACAGGTAAAGCATGGCTGCAGGCGGCCTGAGCAGGAAGCTGAACGACCACATCTCATCCGCACATAGGAAGCAGAAAGGATGGGCAGGAAGTGGGGTGAGACTATAACCTCAAAGTCTGCCCCAGTGATTTACTTCTTCCAGCAAGACTGTGCCTCCTAAAGTTTCTATAACCTTCCCAAACAACAGGGGACCAAGTGCTCAAATACATGAGCCTATAGGGGACATTTCTCATTCAAACCATAACACCTAGTATGTGTGAGACTCTGGGTTCAGTACCTATTAATGCAAAAAAGGAGAGGGATAGAGAGAGTCAGAGATGGGGAAGCGAGAGAGAGAGAGAGAGAGAGAGAGAGAGAGAGAGAGAGAGAGAGAGAGAGAGAGAGAGAGAGAGAGAGAGAGAGAGAGAGAGAGAGAGAGAGAGAGAGAGAGAGAGAGAGAGAGAGAGAGAGAGAGAGAGAGAGAGAGAGAGAGAGAGAGAGAGAGAGAGAGAGAGAGAGAGAGAGAGAGAGAGAGAGAGAGAGAGAGAGAGAGAGAGAGAGAGAGAGAGAGAGAGAGAGAGAGAGAGAGAGAGAGAGAGAGAGAGAGAGAGAGAGAGAGAGAGAGAGAGAGAGAGAGAGAGAGAGAGAGAGAGAGAGAGAGAGAGAGAGAGAGAGAGAGAGAGAGAGAAAGGCTCAGCAGGCAAATATCTTGCTACCAAGCCCCATGGTCAGAGTTCAATCTCTTGGCCCCACCTGGAGAAAGGAAAGAACTGATCCCTGCAAGTTGTCCTCAGTGTATGCCATAGCACACGAGCAACCATATCCCCCCATGCAAAATAAATAAGAAAATAATGCAATTTTTAAAGAGAAATAATTTAGATCTGGATATCTGCCTTAGTTTGACTTCTATAACAGAATACTATGGGCTGGGTAATTTATAAATATAAGAAATTGCTTTCTTCTGATTCTGGAGTCTGGGGAGGCAACCAAGGGGCTGATGCCTGGTGAGGGCTTCTTGCTGCAGCATAGCATGGCCAAAGCAACCCCACAGTGAAAGGATGCAGAGGAGAGTAAGAAGGCAGGAACAGGAAAAGTCCAGGAAGTGGAACTTGCTTTATAACAGCTTTATCACTCTCTCAAAATAAGGCGTTAATCTACTTGAGAGAGTACAGTGCCCACCACCCAACCACTTCTTATAGGTCAGCTCACCCAAGCCAGTGGTGTCACACTGGCAATTTCAGCATGAGTGTTTGAAGGGATGACTAAACCACAGCAATATCTCAAAGAACTCTGGGCCTGAGAAGAGCTCTGGGGCTATGCTGGAGATGGGATGAATCTCAGGCTAGCTCTAATTAACTTCAGCAGGACCTCCTGCCAAGGACAACAGGGGCTCTTGCAGTGACAGCTTAGATTCAGGGGATGTCTCCTTGGCCCTGCTCTTGGTGTCCTTCCTGTCTCTCCAAAATACATTGCAGAGGACAAAAGTTTTTGGTAAAGGAAATGTGTAGGGAAAGGCACAAAAAAAATGTGAGCTATGTGTTCACTGAATAGATAGTGACTATTTACACAAGTGTCCCCTTTTATTTATTCTTAGATGTGGCCTTCGGCAAATGAGATTGGGGTTACTATCAACATATAATTTAGTAATCCCAAGGAGTTATGACATCCTTTCTTAAAGAGGAGAAAATCCAACTGCATCCAGGGTAACTAAGAGGCTTGTCTAGGGGCCTAGCCAAGTGGCAGTAGGCTTTTAAATTCTCCAGCTTTCCATCTTCAGTTAACTATACCAAAATGTCTCCTGAATATTTTTCTCTCCTATGAAAAGCAGCATTCTACCCAGGAGCCCCTTCTGCAAAGTGTCATGAGGCTTATGTTGGAAGGACTAAGGCAAACAACAGCTTCCTAACAGTGAGTGAAGAATGGTTGCCAGGAGGCCAGATGCTTTCTTCCTAGTAAGATCTGGTTGCAAAGCGCATGCATCTGAAGCAGACCTGCTTTAATGTAGTTGCTGAGAATTTTGCATTTTGTTTTAGGTTGTCACCACTGGGAAGGAGCAACTAGATTTTGAAACAGGACCAAAAACATTTGATTTGCAGATTTATGTTAAGGATGATGTTGGTGTCACAGACCTGCAGGTTCTGACTGTGCAGGTGACAGATGTGAATGAGCCACCCCAGTTTCAAGGCAACTTGGCGCAAGGTAAGACATAACTAGGATCAAGATGCAACCCAGACGGTGGCATCAGGGAGGCCCCTGCGGGACAGAGGCAAACAGAAAAAGTAAATAAATGAGCAGCTGCTTCTTCAGAAAAGGCAGCTGCTTAACGAGCAGGGAATAAATGAAATGTCCTCTGCTCAGCATGCCCAGTCATGACACCCACAGTTTGCAGAGCCTCACATCTGTGCTTTTCACTGTCACCTCCTGGTCCTAGGAAGAACACTGAGCTCAGGAACCTCAATGTGGAGCTTTCTCGAGGAACCTGGGTTTGTTACAGTATTCTGTGGTCATTAGTGGGCTTGCTTGTGCCCTCTCATGAACTCTTTTTTTTTAAAAAAATTTATTATTTTTTTATGTGTATGTGTGTATTGCCTGCATGTAGGTAAGTGCACCTGTGTCATGAAATGCCTATAGAGGTCAGAAGAGGCTGTCGGATCCCCTGGGATTGGAGTTACAGACAGTTGTTAACTGTCATGTGGGTGCTGGAATTTGAACCCGGGTCTTCTGCAAGAATAGTGTTCTTAACAGCTGAGCCATCTCTCCAGTTCCTCTCATGAACTCTTTAGGCAAGGTATGCAAGCTATTGGGAATGACCTAAGGAACTACTAGGCTGGAGATGTAGCTCAGTGGTAAAGTGTTTGTATAGCATGCACACTGCCAGGGTTTGGTCCCCAACACAAAAAAGGGGTGGCAGCGCCAAGATGGTTCAGCAGGTAAAGCCTCTTGTGTAAACTTGGAAACCTGAGTTCAATTCCCAGAACCCACATAAAAGTGGAAGGAGAGGGGCTAAAGAAATGGCTCAGGGGTTAAGAGCACTGGCTGCTCTTGCAGAGGACCCGGGTTCTATTCCCAGCACCCACATGGTGGCTAACAATCATCCTAACTCCAGTTCCAGGGGAATCTGACACCTTCTTCTGACCTCCATGGGCACTGCACAACAAGGGTGCACTTACATGTGGGCAATACACACATAAAATAATAATAAATAAAATATTAAAAAACTGAGAGAACCAGCTTCACAAAGCTGTCCTTTCCCCTACACACACACACACACACACACACACACACACACACACACACACCCAATAATAAGTAAACATTTAAAAAATAATACAATAAAGATAAGGAAGCTGGAACCTAGGAGCACTCACTACCAGATTTTGTAAGCTTCTGGCCTTGCTCAGTCTCTGTACACTGAGAACCCCAAGTTCATTGTTTTGTTCACATTCTCCGTGAACTTACCACTCAAACCATCTGTCTTACCCAACATCACTTGGATGTCTAATGAGCTTCTCAGGCTTAGTAAGCCTCTCACACCAAACTCTTGACTCCCACCTCACCCCACTCCCACCCCAGTCTTCTCCACTGTCCTGTTTTAGTTGATGGCACATCTAAGCTCAAGTTCAGCTCTCTAACAGTCTGTATCTGAAGTCTGATCCTACCGCTTACTAGCTGAGACAACTTTGCAAACTGCCCGAGCCTCAGTTTCCTCATTGTAATGTGCTACTTACACTAATCGAATAATTACACTTTGTTATTTATTATTATGGGACAGTAATGAGGACGAAAGGAGACAGAATACATGTGAAGTCTTCAGCATGGTGCCCCTTGGAAGTGTTCTTTTCAATATTCTCAGCCACTTCTAGAAAGTGGGCCAGAGCCTAGAGGGGCTGGTGCTGCCTATTCCTTCCTGTCCTGATTGCCAAAACTCTGTAGCAGATGGAATTAACTTTTGGCCTGAGCTTCTAGGACCCTCAGCTTACTCTGTCTCTTCCCCACCCCTGGGAAGGCCCGCCATCACAACCACACCCTTCTGCTGGGAGTCCAAGTGCAATTCATAGGGTCACTGTAGCCCATGAAGCTGAGTGTGAGCATCATCATACTGTAAGCACCAGGGTGACTTCCAGCTCTGCTCTCATCCCAGCCCACTTTCCAAGCTAACAGCAGCCCCCTGGGTCACCTCCCTATGGGGGAGGTGACTGAAGACATGACACCTGGCACTTTAGTGATCTCCATAAACAGTTCCGTTCAGGCAAGCGGATTGGTGGTCTTCCCCTGCATCTTATCATTCTGACCTCTGCCCCACGATGCCTGCATGCTCGTTCCTTTTGACTGTGTCTGGCTGCCCTGGTTTTGGGGTTTCCTGTTTGTTTATCTAATGAGACATTCTTATTCTCCTTTGACACCCATCAGGTTTAAACCTCTATGTAGTAGAAAGAACAAACCCTGGATTCATTTACCAAGTGGAGGCCTTTGACCCAGAAGACACAAGCCAGAACACACCCCTCAGCGTAAGAGTCCTGGATTGTGCCGCCTGAGTAGGCTTCAAGGCCGGAGCCTGGCCCAGCCTGGTGGGCGGGTGGAAATGGCAGCAGGGGGGTGCACTGCGGTCTCCAGAGCCCGGGCCGGGCTTTTGAGCATAGCACTGTGTGACCTTGGACAAACTCTTAACCGTGTTGAGCTCCAGTGCTTCCTGAGTGACACAGGAAGCAGAAGGCTGCCTGCCATAGGTGGGGCTTGGTCATGTGAGAAGTTGAGTGGCCTCGCCAGGCAGAGCCAAACTGGTCAGCAGTGTTCACTTTTAAGCTGATAAAAAGCCATTCATGCTATTTTGAATGTAAGCACAAAATGTGCACCCCCAAATGAGACACTAACATATCCTTTCTAAGAGATGAAGTCAAGCTTATAGACAACATAGGGGAGAAAAAAAAAAAAAGCAAAATTTAAAAGTCCTAGGGATTCTGGGGTACAGAGCAGGGACTGGGTCCCAGAGATTTGCCTCACAATTCAGTCTGAGACAGTTGAGGTATCCTCCCTTTTGAAATTGGATTCCTTGCAGAACTGGGGCTTTAATAGCCACCAACACTTGGGTGAAGCTTCTTAACTATTCCTCCATGGGCCCCAGCATGTCCTGTGAGTGCCCTGAAGCTGCCTGGCTCACCAGGGAGCAGGCTGTCCTGTCTCCAGCCTGGTCATCAGAGAAGAGGATGCTGAAATAGGACATTATTCCTGCCATTTGCTGCCGATTTACAGCTATAACAGGAACAATTTCTCTAACAGGGAAAAATAATCCCTGGGACTAAACTTCAGGACCAATGTAGGTAGCCCATGGGGTATGGAACAGGTGCTAGAAGGTTCCTGGAGACAGCTCTATATGAAGGAATAAGCTGTTTTTATTAGATGATCCTCCTGCTCAAAAATATCCATTTGTTCAAGTTTCATTCATGTCATCGTTTGCATGAATAATCGAATGAATGTACAAGCGTTTAATGGGTGTCTACTCTGTACTAAAAGGTGTATTTACTAATAGCATACTTGTTATGCCAGATAGTGAGGGGTTTATCGGCTGATAATAGAAAATAGAACCATAGTGGAAGATGAGAGATGGATTTACTTTCTCCTATAACAAGAAGTTTGGAGGCAGCCAGACTGCCCAGGGCTAGTACTATACCACCAGGAGGCTGGATGCTTTCTGTTTCTGCTCTTCCATCTGGACCATGTTTGTTGGCTTCATCCTGTTTTTCTAACCTTATGGTTGCAAGATGACTACTACAGATACATGTCATGTCATGATAGCTCTGAACCCCATGCAGGAAGTAAGAAGGGGTATATGGTAAAGGAGACAGGCCAGCCTCGCCTGTGACTTTTGGGCAGGAAAGCAAAACCGTCCCTGAAGTTTGACTTCTAACATTTTGGCTACTCGTCACTGATCATTTCCTCTGGCCACTACTCCTTGACAGTGACCAAAGGAAAAGAGATCCTGGCTGGGGATTAAGTCAGCACCCCAAAATATAGTGTGTTATTATTTATTTAGTCCATTTGAACATCTACCAAGAGGTTAGTAAATAGGCATGCTGTTAGATAAGTTTTGTAGGACATGGGAACCTTCAGAAATGAAGCTACAGAGTCCTGAAGAAAACCACGTTATTTTGTGTGTGTCTGTATATGAGAATGGTGTGTGTGTGTGTGTGTGTGTGTGTGTGTGTGTGTACGTGTGTGTGCCTTGTGTGCAGGAGTGCTAGAGGAGGCCAGAGGAGGACACTGAGTGTGCTGTTCTCTTATTCTCTGTGTTATTCCTTTGAGCCAGGGTCTCTCACTGAACCTAGAATTAGGCTGGTGGCTAGCACACCCCAGTGATCCTCCTATCTCTGATCCCGTCACAGCACTGGGATTATATGTACTTGCCACTACATTCGTTTTTTTACATAAGTGTTGGGATCTGAACTCAGGTCTTTGTGTTTGCATGGCAAGCACTCTTACCCATTGAGCCATCTCTCCAACCCCAAAGTATGTGTTTTTATGCTCAGGTTCCATGAAAAAATGAAACTTATATAAAAGTATGATTGGACAAAACAACAGTGGTACCTTAGTGAAGGCATCTGTTCAGACTCCCCTTAGTCTCTGGGAATAGAGCAGGAAGCCTCTGAGGTGAGGGGCTCATGATGTACTGTAAAGAAGAAAGTAGGGACCAGGTCAGAGGAAACTTTTTGCTTCTGCAATTTTGTCAATTGCCAAGGTACTATATTGGAGATATTCTGTTCTGAGCCCTGCCTTGTCTATATACCAAATGATTATCGCTTAGCATGATAATGACTATGAAGTTTACATAAGCTGCAAGTGAAGGAATTTCAGCTTCCAAGACAAATTTATTTATTTATTTATTTATTTATTTATTTATTTATTTATTTATTATTTATAGGCAAGATTTTGCAACCCAAGCTGGCTTCAAACTTACAATCCTGCCTCAGCCTCCCAAGTGCTGGGATCAAATTATACACTACTGCACCTACCTAGATTTGTAATTTTTTGTCTTTTTGAGACAGAGTCTCCCTGTAGCCCCAGATGGCCTGGAACTCACTGTGTAGACCAGGCTTGGCCTCAATCTCACAACGATCTGCCTGCCTCTGCCTCCCAAGTGCTGGGATTAAAGGTGTGCGCCACAACACCCAGCTTAGTTCTGTATTTTCAAATCCCCATTTTAATATATCTCCAAATTATGCAGCTGGCATAAGGTCCTATTCTTTTAGAACCCTCTCTCAGGTATAGTTGTCACCCTTGGAGAGGAAGGGAGGCAGCCTGGGGAAGTCAATGTGACAGGATAGCTCCCTTTAAAATATGCAGTGCTGTCAAAATGGTTCTGAGGGAGCAGTAGGGCTGGGCCATTACTGGAATGGAGGCCCCTGCATTGAGTTTGGGGTTGCTTGTGGGAGGGATGCTCCCAATTGCCACGGAAAGCTTCAGTGGAGTATTTAATACCTGTGTGGAACTGAGCAGCCATCAGCTGTCCTGCAGGAGCAGCTGACACAGCCTGGAAGAATCTCAGACTGGAGGAAGGTAATATCTTGGGCAGAAACTGTATGGCCTTCATACTTAGAAGTTTTATTTTGGGCACTTGGGGGAACTAAATGGCACAGTTTCCCATGTAAAGCAGAACAGAGATGGGCTAGCTTGCCATGGACAAGTCGATGCTGCTCAAACTTGGCTATAAATTAAAAGCTCTTGGGAACTTTACACACACACATACACACACACACACACACACACACACACACACACACACACACATACAAGGGCCTGGGTCCCCCTGGGATGTCTGATGTGACTGGCCTTGGGCATGGCCCTGAAATCAGAAACAAAGGTCCAAGTGATCAATCATAACCAGAACTGAGACTGCTCAGAGAAGACACTGGCTCCCTGAATGCCCAAGCCCTTCTCATGGGGTGTTCTAGGTCTCTCTCTCTCTCTCTCCGTGGCGTTATTTTTTCCATGTGAGTTTCTCTCTCTCTCTCTCTCTCTCTCTCTCTCTCTCTCTCCCTCTCCCTCTCCCTCTCCCCCCCCCCTCTCTCTCCCTATCTCTCCTGTCCCAAAACTCAGGCCATACAGTCTGTCCTTTAGGACAAAGAACTGACAGGCACCTACTGTGACTCATTCCATCTCCCCTGCTGCCCAGGGCCAAGGCAACTTTGAACTATTTCTGCCTCCTGTCAAGTAGACTTAGACACATGTTGTGGAATTTCCCACCACTCCCTGAAAACGTGTGAGCCAGAAATCCCCTTTGCTCAGGGAGTTTGAAGGCTCTTTCTGGGAGGCCCCCATCATCTGTATATGGCAGTTGTCTCTCCTAATGAAGGTACTCTCTGGAATTTGAAGGGAAGACTCCCTCTCCTTTCAAGACCCTATCATGCTGCCTATGCTAGGATATGCTTTCTCTTTGAATATTTTCCCACTTTAAGACCTAATCGTGCCCCCATCACTGTGGTCCAAGGCTCTCTGTCCTAATAAAGCTCTTCTAAAGGGTAAGAATGTCAGTTCCTTTCCATGTACCTGCCCTTCTGTTTAAGTTATAACAATGTAGCTTAATTCAATATATCCAACACATTATCAAGATAACAGTGATGGGGCTGAAGAGATGGTTCAGTGGTTAAGAACACTGGTTGTTCTTGCAGAAGACCCAGGTTTGAATCCCAGCACCCACATGGCAGCTAACAACTGTCCGTAACTCCAGACCCAGGGGATCCGACAGCCCCTTCTGACCTCCTCAGGCATTGTATGACATGGGTGCACTTACCTACATGCAGGCAATACACATATACACATAAAAAAATAACAGTGATGAATGAGATATTTTACACAATCTTTCCATGTGGTCTTGAAATGTGGTCTGCCCTTTACTCCTAGGCTCCCCTCCTCTCATATCAGCCACATTTCAGGTGCTTGGTAGTGACGTGCACATGGGGCTAATGGTTGGTTGTGGGTGCATGGGCTTAGTTCTCACCATAGTTACCTCTCTCAGGGCTCCTTCTATATTCTAATGAGGATGTATGTAGAGCTGGGACTCAGAAATCTGTACATAAAGAGAAGGATGATCCTTGTGAAGGGTTAGACTTCTGGCCTGCCTTCTGGTTCCAACCCAGTTATTTTCTACCTCCTGAAGGGGGCTCAGTGAGAACCACCCACTTTCCAGCCCCTCCCCTTGCTTGGCAATGGCCCCTTGGCTGCAGCAGAGCCTCCTTAGAGACTCAGAGGATGGTAATAGGCTTCGAAGATGGAGGCAAAGTGATCCAGTGCACAGTCCCTCCATTAACCGGCTTTCTCAGGCCCTTCCATTAAGGAAGGACTTTGCATAAATGAAGTGTGATTTGTCTTCACCAGGGCAGACAGAGGATTAAATTAAAAGAACAATAATCGTGCTGCTACCAGAGCTACTGGGAGGGCAAGAGAACATTCTTTCTGGTGTATCTTACTTATGGCTCTGAGAGGGGCCTAGCTGGCCCATCTTCTTAGAAGTCGT